AAAAACAGTGGAAGGAATACTGCATTTGTGTTCAGAGGATCTGGGTTCAAGTTTGGCCTCTGCCAATACCTGTGAATTATTCTATTTTGGTATAGCCATTCTTGAATGCCTAAATATCTGGCTCTATAAAAAATAGGGCCCTGGAAGGAGGAGGCATTTCAGATCATGAAAAAGATCTAAAGTCCCCTTCATTAGTGGGGGACCATGGATGCTTTAATAAAGTGTGGTCAGCTCTGACCTTTGTCTCACTATCTTTTATTGTAGGCTGGATAATTTTTATACCCACGCCTTGAAAAAATCATTTCGCAACATCTCTGGGCTTCAAATTCCTTATTTATGAAATGAGGACATTAAACTAAATTATGTCTAAGATCTCTTCCAGCTCTATAGCCATGATCACATGTGTTGATTTTGCTATTATAGTACTGCAAAATCATCTATACACAAGGAACCTTACAGAAGTTGTGGCATTTTTTTTTCAAAGAATTGAGCAGACCAGTTAAAATTCTCTCCCTTCTAGAAAACAGTAAATGTTTATTTACTCCCCATATTTTTCCCCAATAACTATAAGCTAAAAAGTAAGTAAAAATAAGCAATTATCAATATTCAAATTTTAAGTTAAACTTTCAAGAACTAGTAACCTGTGAAAATCAGGACAAAACAACAATAAAAGTCAAACTTTTAAGATTCTATACTAGCCTGACCTTACTTTTACCTTACAAAAGACAAAGTGAATTGAAAAAGAGCATTTCAGAACTGGAAGGAACCTTGTTGTTCAGTCACATCTGATTCTTCATGACCCCATTTGAGGTTTTCTTGGCAAATGTACTGGAGTGGTTTGCCATCTCCTCATTTTACAGATGAGGAAATTGAGACAAATGGAGTTAAATGACTTGCTCAGTGTCACACAGCTAGTTAAGTGTCTGAGGCCAAATCTGAACTCAGATCTTCCTCACTCCAGGCCCCAAGCTCCATCCACTTTGCCACCTAGCAGCTCCAGAAGGAACTTCTGAGATTATATATTCCAGGGGTGGGGAACTTGAGGCCTCAAAACAGCCACAGGTTTCCCACCTCTGATTTAATCCAACCTCTTTATTGACAGATGAGAAAACAGGCACAGGGCAACAAGGTAACTCATCCAGAGTTACAAATACTAAGTAAGAGAGCCAAGAAAACAATCCAAGGCTCCAGATTCAGAGTCAATTAACCAACAACCATTTATTGATCACCTACTATGTCTCAGGAGCTGTGCTAGGGGATATACAAACAAAAATGAAGTAGTCCCTGCCCTCAAAGAAGAGGATGTTCAACCTGGGGAGATATGCACCTATAAAACTCTAAGTTTTTGGGGAAGAGAGGGAAAGCACTAACAGCTGAGGGAATCAGGACAGGTTTCAAGCAGAAGACAGAACTTGAGCTGAGCTGTGAAAGAAGACAGGATTCTATATAAGAGGTAAAAGTGAGAGACAGAGAGAGAGCGTTCCAGGCAGGTGAGACAGCCCATGAGCCTCAGGAAGAAATGGTCTATCCTGGTAAAGCAGGAAGGCTCACTGGGCTAGTAGGTAGAATGAGTGACAGTGAGTAAAGAAGCCCACAAAGGGAGGTTGGCACCAGCTTGTGAAGGGGTTAAAGGCCACACAGAAATCTATCTGCATTGGATATAAGAGGTAAGAGGGAATCAGTGGAGGGTTTTGAGCAAGAAAGAGACACGGTCAGATTTAGGTGCATGGCACCATAATGTCTACTCTTTATGAGTCATCTAAATCAATGTTGTAGGGATTAGAGACTATTCTTCCTAACTTTTTACAGTCGCCTAAATGACAGTTTTCTAAGCCACATGCTTTCTGTGGCAGACCCAAGCCTGGGGCCAGAATCTATTTCCCAGCTTCTTGCCTGCTTGTCCCCATTTCTAACCAGTTAAATAGGAGTTTTCTCTCCCAGGTAGCTTTCGTCTGTGGAACCAGGGCTCCAACTCTGGGCTCTTCTCACCTGGCCCAGAAATGCCTTAGGGTCTAAGGCTTAGGCACTATACTCCTGGGCCTCCATTCTTCCAACTATTTAATTGACACTCTCCAACATAGCTTCCATAGCAGAGCTAGAAATCAAAAGCTACATCCAGTCACTCCCAGCCTACGTTTTTCTATTTAAAATGGCAGTGTTTCAATTCCAAATGGTAGTAAAAGTAGATATTTATGTAGTACCCAGAACACTTTCAAAGTGTGCTACACAATCCATTTGAGCCTCCCATGCGCCTGCAAAACAGGTGCTACAATTACAATGTCCATCTTACAGATGAGGCTCAATAAGGTCCTACAGCTAGTTTCAAGAGCCAGAGATTGAACCAAGGCTTCAGGTCCAAGGAACAAGTCCCAGGGCAGATGAGAGCCCAGGTCCACTTACTCCCATCTTAGTGCTCTGAGCATTAATGACACCATGGTTAATCATTTCTGACCTTTTAAACAACAGCTTTCTGGGCCAGGTAGCTTTTGGGGCAAAACTAGGATGAGAATCTAGATGCCCTCACTCCAAGCCCAATGGTCCTTTCATAAAACATGCTTTGAGTCAAGTACTTAGCATCTAGTATAAGAGTTCTTAATCTTTTTTTGGTGTCATGGACCCCTTTGGCAGTCTGGTTAAACCTGGGGACCCTTTCTCAGAATAATGTTTTTAGGTATATAAAATACAAAGAAAACTAATTTATATCAAAAGATGTCATTTTTTTCTATCCAAGTTCACTAACATCTCCCCCCAAATCTATCCATGGACCTCAGGTTAATAACTCCTGATTAGCAGCTTCCTTTCAATTTCTGTAACATTGCAGGGACTTTTCCAATTGTTATACAACTGAGTTCACATTTCAATAATAGAAACCTCATTTTAATTGCCATAAAAATTCTGACTTCCTCTAAAACATGGGAATACACTATTCCATCCAATGCAAAATCATAGACTTACTATTTAACCCCATGGACAAGGCCAAAGATTTCGCTGCCAAGTTTAAAATGTCAAAGTAAATTTTCAACGACAGACCCAGATCCTTGTACAGCTAGCACACATATTCACAGCCCAAAAAAGCCCAAAGCAGAATTGCAAATGATTTCTGCAACATCATTTTTATTAGAAGCAAAGAGGCCATTTTCATGCATTACAAATCATTTTTGCAGAAACACAATTGCTACCTGACCTAGAAACATCATCATTTAAACACGTGGTTGGAAAAGGCACAGTATTGTGGTGTGGTACAAAAAGTATGGAACTGACCCAGCTGTAGGGACCACCTCACTGCATCTCACTAGTCCTTCCCGATCACAAGACCCCTTTCCAACTCTAAAACGCACTCTAGAATTCTATAAAAAAACAAATCAAACCTAAGCTGTGAAGGTCTAGGGCCTGGACCCATGATTTCATTGGTACAATAAGAAATCCTGATGAGCAAACTTCATCAAGGCACAAAAGGCTGCCCATTGGCAGCTGCCCAGTGATCTGCCCACAGTCTCAGACCATGTGTGTCAGGGTCAGCACCTGAACCCAGGTCTTCTAGCTTAGCAACAGGCTCTCTATCCACTCTGTCACAATGCCCCTCACAGAAGTATTCAACAAAAAGTAAATTAAAAATGGACTATCAACTATCAGTAGATATGATTAACTGTACCAACAGATCAAGGTAAAGTTAAAATGTATTCAACTTCAATGCTAAGCTTAATAAAATTTGCACCAAACTGATAATTAACTTGCCCTAATTAAAACCTCCACTATAATATTATTCATTTGGGGTAGTATGTTCTTAAAACGTTCACTGATTAATAGAAAATACTCTTTTCAATCTAATGACATTCTTGTGAAATCAGCTAAATACCATTTGTTTCAGTGTACATTCCTTCCCAGAGCAATTTTTTTCTAACACTCTGACCCTTGATTTTTCTAAATGATACCAGCTATCTCTAATATTAAAATGGAATAATGGAAGGCAGAAAAAAATGTATTTATCAAATATCTTACTGACCACAACAGGCCCCTGGCAACTTCTGCAGCAATTTCATGACAAAGGGACTAAGCTGTCTATTTGCACAGACAAATCTACTTTTGCTTTTAACAGAACTATAGCAAACATTCTTCCCTACAAAACTCCCCCAAACAAGCTGCTTAATGCTGCAAGGCAAGTAGATTCACTGGGTTACAAACAGCAAAGGGTTTGTTCCCAGATGAAAATTTCAATTCCTTAAAAAATAGGTTTTCTTACGACAAACCTTCTTAGGCATCTTTCCAGATATTACTAAACACTGCTTAAAGGTTACATATGGCAAGAAACAGTTTCTTAAAAAAAATTACTAAACACTCAAGAAATATACATTGTCCTGTTTTGCAAAAAAGGAGTCTATTCCCTTTACAATACAGAGGATGGGGGGGGCATCACATGGGAAGCTGACCACATGATCTCTAAAAACATTTCAACTAGTCTTCATCCAAATTGAGAAATCTTATTTCCAAAGTTCCAACAGAATTCTGGCTAATAATGTTACCTGACTTCCCCTCCATGATAACAATAACTTCAATTAGTCTATACAATTTGAAAGTGCCGATTGAAGTGTGATTAAAGCGCCCTAGTTATACTTCATACATTCTTCTGATGGTTATCATTTTACACAACAGCTGGCGCTCAAAAGATGCACCTTGACGTTTCCGTGGGCTGGATCAGCCCATATGTAAAATCAAGTCCCATCCAACCCATATTTTTAAGAGCACGCCTGTTGGACAAAGTTTTGAGAAGATGCAATAGAGTCTGGGTTAGTTGCTGCCTTTTTCTACAAAGTTAGTAAAGCAGCGGCTGAGTACAGCATAAAAGATGAAAATATTTGTTCTCATAGATGTAAAATGCAATTCCTTTTAAAGTTCGAACTTTTCCAAAGATCCCTACTTATGGTTCATTCCGGGCGGGGGTAGGGGCACAAGAGAAAACAAACCTTTCCCCAGCTACCCAGGACTGCTTTCTGGTAACATACCTGTTCTCTGGAAATACAAGGCAACGAAGGTCTCCGGGACGTTTGGCTCCCGAAGCTGGTGGGAGTCTCGCCTATGGGCACACAACTTGACCTTCTTCGGGGTCTGATCACAGGCACTTTGCCGTCCCCGCTCAGGCGAGGCAGGGAGGGAGCTTCCCGGAGCGGAAAGAAGCGATCCAGCCCCAGAGCCAGCCCCGTGCCGATGCCCCCGGCGAGCCAGGAGAGCAGGGGCCCGAGAGCGGCGGGAAGGAGGCTGAGGCTGGCCACGGACACCCACCACACCACGCCGGAGAAGAGCAGCACCAGGACGCTGCGCGTGGGCTGCACGGGCTGCAGCAGGCTCAGGACCCCGACGCAGCTCAGCACCAGCAGCAGCCTGCCCAGCACCACGAGCTGCCCCCCGGGGCCGGGCCCCCACTGCGCCAGCACCAGGTCTCCCACGAAGCAGCAGGCGGGCAGCGCCAGAAGCCCCCAGGGCCGGCGAGCGCCCCGGCGGAGGCAGAGGCGGCGTCGGCGCGGCCGGGTCAGGAAGCAGGTGAAGAAGAAGAAGGCACAGGCGAGGCTGAAGAGCGGGCACAGGACGTGAGAGAGCCCGCGGAGCAGGAGCCCCAGCGGGCGGCCGAGGCGGGCGCAGCCCTCGGGCCACAGGAGGCGGGCGAGCAGCAAGCCGGCGAGAGCGCCCAGCGCCGAGCTGCCCAGGGCTTCGTTGGGGGCGCGGCGGGGCGCGGGGCCGGGGGGCGGTGAGGACGAGGAGGAGGAGGAGGCGCGGGGCAGCAGCAGCTCCACGTTGCACAGGCGGCAGACGTGGTACAAGAAGCCGCGTGGAGGGTCCTCGCGCAGCGGGCTCGCCGAGCTGCGCACGTAGCCGTTCCGCAGGCTCTCCCGCGGGGGCCCGGCCCCGTCCCGCCGCGGGAGCCGCCTCATGGTCGTGCCGGGCTCAGCCCGCGGGGCCGGGATCCGCTGCGCTGGCTTGCCCCCTCTCCTCCCCGGTCGTCTCCTCCGCTCTCCTCGGCGCCGCTCTGGGAACTCAGGACGCACAGGGGGCTCGGGCTCCCGCGCCCGCACCTCCGCCCCCGCCCCGCCCCCGCCGTGCCGCCCGGCTGGGTCCGTTCGGCTTCTGGCGCGCGCTCCTCCTCCTCCTCCTCCTCCACCTCCCTCCGCCACCTCCCCACTGGGAGCGCGCCCCACCCGCGCGCCTGCCCCGCCTCGGCCCGGCCGGTCCAGGGTGAGGGCCACTGCCCGACCGACTGACCCCACTGACCGGGCATGCCCAGTTGGGCCCGGGAAGAAGTGTTTGGCAGCCTCACCGCCCTTCCCTCCCCGCCCCCCGCCCCACACCCCAACCCCAGGGAAGGGGAGGAGGAGGGAATGACCCAGTGGTGGAGAAGAGATCCCAGGGCTGAACCTGCAGAGGAAACGAAGGAAAGCCACTCTTAATCTTTGACATCAAAGGTTTCGTAGCTGGGGGCTAAGAGATGAGGTCTTCAGTGGGGTTCCCTACTAAGAAAAGCACTTCATTGACCCTTAAAAGTACTTTGTTCCCTTCTCTTGTGGTTTCAGTGGCATCCTCATTCAAGAATCCTAGAATTTATAGCACAAAGATCTAGATGGTCTAGATTCTAGAACAACGCTCGAATTTTACAGAGGAAGCTACTGAGTCCCAAAATGAGCAAGGGACTTGCCCAAGATCACCTAGTTATTGAGGCAAAGGAGACTTCGACACTGAAACCAGTTCCTCAGACCTCCCTTTGAGCTTGTTTTCCTTCTATCTGCAGCTGTGGTGCAACAGGAATCAATGGTGGGAGGCTGGCTTTGGGGTCCAAAAGTCCACAATGTGCAGCATTTGTTAAACACTTATCTTGTCAGGCACCTGGGTTCAAATTCTGCTTTGGATTCTAGCTGTGTGACCCTGGACAACCGACCCCTCTCTGCCTCAGCTTCCTGGTCTGTAAAAGGAGAGGGTTTGAATTAGAAGTCAAAAGTCTCACCTCTAAATCTATGAGAGGCCCCTCCATGAGTCCATCCATCACCCCACTCCACTTAAAATAACAAAATACTCTAGCCCTGCTGCCTTTATCAGGTTAGAACATCTCTAGTGATTCAATCTGTCACAAGCTTTAAATTAATGTATGTCCAGTCACACAATGTGGGTTTTGTATAAAATAGCAAATTAACTCCCAACTGGGCTTTAAGGTGTCTGGCAATTAGAGAAGAAATCAGTTCCAGCCAAGTTCCTAAGAGAGAGTTGCTGGGGGAAGGAGGAGGAGCTGCACCCCACTGCCAGTAGAAACTCCTCCTTTTCCACACCTGGACTAGAGGACAGCTTTGTGAACTTTGAAGGATTTGAGGATTTTGACTTCTCATAGTCCTAGCAGTATCTCCTTAACAGCAACAGTTAGTAGAAATGGATGCACTGGGAGCCAAAAATAAACCATTCACACTAAAGAAAGATTCAAGACATCTTACGGAATCTGAATATGTGTTGAATCCCACAAAATCCAGGCCCAACTTTGCCCATAGGCATGCCCTGAAACACATCTTTTTTTTAATTTACAAGCATGTCCAATATAAGGGACTTTATTTTTTTAAGTAATTTAAGATATAGTTGGGGATTCAGGGAAGACAAAAAAAAGGGGGGGGGGAGAGTTGAGAGGAAAACATGGATCTTTCTATCTTCTCCCATTTATAGGATATTTTTAAATTGATTTTCATAGAGCTAAGAGATCGTTTGTTTTACATGTCTTAAAACTGAAGGCCAAAGAATTGAAGGGACTTAACCGAAGTGATCCAGTGATTTAATGGCAGAACCAGGATTACAACTCAGATCTCAACTCTCAGGCCAACGCTTTTTCCCTTCCACCACCGAATTTCCCTTTTTGATTACCTGTTTGAAGGCTACATACATCTGATAGGATATATACCAACCTCCTAATAACTCCATGGGCTACCTTTTCTTCTACAGTTAATGGATTTCCATCTTGCATCTCGACAAAGCATCATGCAATGTCCATTTTAAGTAAGCAGGAAATCACAAAGCGGTTTCACCCTTCCATCAGAGGTAATCAAGTTCCAAAGTCCTCATTCTCCATGAGGAAACTGAAGCCCAGAGAGATTAAATGACTTGCCCACCAAGTGTTAAATAAATAGCTAGCAGTCAGAGTAGGATTAGAAACCAGGTCCCCTGACTCCAACTCTAGGGCTCTCTTCTCTAGCATTCTTCCTTCTGCTACCTTTTAACATACCAATTTTAACAACTGATCAATAATTTTAGAACAGGGAAAGTCATCTAGGACAGGAGAGGCATCGAGTACAGGAAGGGAAGTAGCCTGGCTCTACCTTTTAAACTTGCTGTGTGGCCTAGAGAAAGTTGTAACCTCTTTTGGTCTTAATTTTACCATCTATCTAAATTAAAATTAAATTAAATTTTAAAATTTACCATCTATTTACAAAAATAAAAAGGCTAAAAGTTCCCTAAGATCCTTTCCGGTTCTAAATCTAAGCTTATGCCAAAAATGTAGCCCCTAAGAGAACCTTCCCCTGTCAGGGGCTGTAAAGCCTAAATGTGTGCTAAGCCTGTAATGGAGAGAAGTGAACCAAAAATTCAAGTCCTCAATGATCAGTGGGTTAAATGGAAGACATAAATGCAAATGTTGCTTTTTAGTATTATTGCCTTCCCTACTCTTCCATCAACTATTCTTTTTCTTGACTACCATCCAAAATTTCATGGATCTTCTTGAATTAATGCTAATAGCTGATATTTAGACAGTGCTTTAAGTACATTCTATATACATTATTTTGTTTGGTCCTCATAGCCTCCTTGTGAGGTAGAACAGAATTATTATTCACCGACAAAAAAACTGAAGCTCAGATGAAGTGATTTTCAAAAAAAACACATGGATAAGTGGTAGAGAAGGGATTTGTTGTAGTCACCTACAGTTGGAGGATGCATAGATGGGAACACCAAGCCTGAGTAGCTTTAGAAGATGACATTTCTGATTATATGCCTCTGAAAATCACCAAAAGTTAACTAAACTTAAAATACGCTCAAAAAGAGTGAGCTAGCCATGTTCGTAGCAACTCCCTCTACCATTTACAATCTTTGTCACAGACTGTTACTTGGCCACATTTCTTAGAGGTCAAATTAAATTATTGTTCTGCCAGACTCAGACAGCCACAGTACTAAAGGGTTTATATTGCTCTTGACTTTGGGTCCAAGAGTTTATAGCTATTATCCAACGTGCAAACATCCCTAAAACACCAGAATATCTTGGCCACTCAGCTGATCTCTGAAGAGTCTTTTTCTAGTATTGGTGTCACCTCTCATTGATTCCCTTCCCTCTCCCCAGAAGTGGGATATGAAACCTCATCTGACCCAATAATTTACATATTAAAAAATCATAGAGGGTACCTACTCCTTTTCTAAATTCAAGGTCTAGTTGGAATCTGTTTTCAAGTTTCAGCAGCTCCACCTATTGGTAATTTGATCACAATTATCAAAGTGAAATATAGATACCAACCAGAGTCAACCTCTGGAAGAATCTAGTCCAGCCCTTGGCTTGATTTCACCTGAGCAGTAAAGTCAGGTGATAATGCTCTGGCCATGGCTCTGCATTCCACCAAATGGTTTCACCCATAGTGAGCTGCTGTGCCTATCCCGTTACAAGAGAAGCCTTTCACTGTTTGAAAAAAAGCAGTTGAAGAGTTGTGAATAGTGGTTAATCCATTTAGAGGTTTGGTTTGTTTTTTTTTTTCCACCAAGGCCTTTAAGTTCTAGTTATCATCATTGCTAGGAGCCAGCTAAGTCAAAAAACTTGACTAGATTTGAAAATAAAACAGAATAAAATATTAGTTCTAAATGTAACCCTTAGGAATTGGAATGGGCTGCCCTAATTTCTCAAAGTAGAAAGCTATGGCAGTCACTGAGACAAGCTTTGAACATCAAAGACATTTTCAGAAATAGCTAGTAAATTGGCTAACATTTCTGAAGTTCCAAAGAAAATTTGTTAAACCTAAGTCATTTCTTCTTACACAGAAAATGTAAGTCATTGTTAAACATATCATTTTTTCTTACACAGAAAACGTTTGGAATTTCAAAAGAAAATAAGCCTTTGTTTCACAATTAAATTTCAATGAAATTAAACTTCAGTAAAGCCTGAAAACAAAATCTGAGTAGCTCTTTCTAGGGCAGAAAAGCAAATTCTAAAGTTCTGAAGAGCCAACAATTCCAAAGAGTAGTGATAATTGTAATAACTCACATTTATACAGAACTTTACAGAGCATTTTCTTCACAATAACTATGATGTAGATAGTATAAATATTATCATCATCTCCATTTTATAGATAGGGAAACTGACCCTCAGAGATGGTAAGAGACCTATCCAAGGTCAGTAAGTGGAAAGTGGGGACTTGAACACCTATTTCCTGCCTTTATAATCCAATATTGTTTCCATCAAGGATTTAGTCTGATACCTATATCCTAAGTGAAATATAGAGCAGTCTGAACTTCCTTTTCTCTCTCAATATCTTTTCTTTCCTCTCTCTTAATTCTCTCCTTTTCCTTCTACCTTACTTGGCTCTCCTCATATATGCCTGCCCTTCCCACCTCAGCTCTATCTCTCCCTCAGCTCTGAGATAGCCTCATATGAGCCTGAAGTACATTTTGTATTGTAATTTATTATATTAATTAAATAAAGTTTTATATTCCCTCAATTTTAAAAAGATATTGATTTGTCAATCAGTGACAATGACTGTATTTCTCCCAAAAAAATGAATAAATAACAGGTTTCTCTTTACTTGAAGAATCCTTGAATTATTGGTTTGTGTTTTATCTGTAGGTGAGTGGCCCTCAATGAAAAATAGGTTTTCCCACTCTGGAATACAATATTAACAGTCTTTGGTGGTGCGGCCCCTCCTAGCATTTGTGACAGAACACTCACGAAAAGAATTCTCTTCCAAGATCAAAGAAAATTGGCATGCATGCTTGTGTTATATGGTGGCATCTGAGATCCAAGTGACAAAGAAGAGTCAACTAAGACACCTGTAGTTATATTTTGAATGTATTAATTACTGCTTTCCCCACCCCGTCTCCCATGAAAGTATATCCTCTAGTAT